TGTGTTTCCATACAACACGTCGTACGACTGGTCCATGATGGCGGCTTTGGTATAGAGTTCAATGCGTTGAGCACTTCGTCTTGTTGATGCCGAGCAAGATTTGATGAAAGTTGCTGTGGCGGATGCATGGAAAGAATCAAGGTTATAAGAGTCATCTGTTGATCAGTTAATAGGTGTAATTTCCTCGATAAAATGCACATGAATTTTCTTTATTTGAGACCAGCCAGTGTGTAACAGTAAGAGCGTTGACTTATTGTAAGTATTGTTCGTTTAGGAGGGTGTTTCATAGCAAGCTACCTAATTATTCCATTAATGTATCGTAAACTGTTTTGCGCGTGTTCCATTTCTAAGTAACAAGCAAGGCTTACTTTCATTGCCAGGTGCAGCAAGTTAAACCGCATTGTTCTTATATATTGAAAATATATTGTGATAAGTCATGTATTATCCATGTAATATTAATAATTATCCATAAATAATGTCATTAAACAGGTTAAAGCTTTTTTGCATGTTGTCTGTGTCGGGTCAATTGCAATAACCAATATATTCCTGTATAAGGGCCAGTTCAGAGTTTGCAAAGGATACGATCAAACCGTTTGATTGGACATTTTCCACCTCATACCGTGGCACAATCTTAGCACAGGACCCACAGCATGTACTCCAGGTATAGTTAACTTCTTATAGTGTATTTGTGTAGATTGCGTATATTATAGTCGTTGCATGGCCTCAAAATTACTGGAAAATTATTATCAGGACTTGTGTTATTTACAATTCTGACTGCAAGCAGGCAGGGCAAGCAGGCTGTTCTCCTGTTTCACGGACTCTTACTTGTCCGAAAAATGTTGTAGTGTGCGGTAGCTGTATCATCGCACAGTAGCTGTTGAACAGACTATAATGCAGATCGTGAATGATGTCCGAATTGTTTTTGTCAATGCCATGTTTCAATGCTTGCATTCTCGATTTCAAATTTGTAAAATGTTGATAAATTAAGGCGTGATATCATTCAGGTGAAACAGTTATGTAGGCTATTTGCTCATTAATGCTATAAATAAAAATGTAGGTACTCGCTAACACGGCTGAACCCACCGGCTCGGAGGGCCGGTGTTTTGCCAATGTTACTGGCTCTCCAAATAATTTGCCGGCATATGCCGGTGGGCCAGTGCTAATTTGGCGCCCTGCCCTTCATGTCGTCTCACTTGGGGATTTCTCGATTTTTATTAGGTTAGCCCAACTACAGAAAGAATAGATATTGAGAAACTGAAGACACAAGAAAACATTCTCTTCTTCGATGAGGTCCATTTATTCGAAGATGAATTGGCAGATAATGGTTGTAGCAACCTCACTGTTAAAATTGTAAGTATGATTTTCTGATATAAATGTCACGGTATTTGCATCATTTTGATTGTACTATTATGGGCCATTTCAGATTGATTTTATTTAAAGTTGCTTGAAAATGTTGTGTAATGGTTTCAGAGAGTGATGCCAGGAAAGTTCTTTGTGTTGCTGCGATTTTTCCTGCGAGTAGACGGGGTTCTAATCCGAATGAATGACACACGGCTCTACCATGAGGTTTGTACTTTGTGTGCAGATTTAGTACTAAAACAACAAAAAGCTTTACTACTTGGCACTATTCTGCTATAAAATGTAAATGAATGCAATTATTATTTGTGTATATATATACACACACACCACACACACGGCGGTGTGTGGTGTGTGTGTGTGTGTGTGTGTGTGTGTGCGTGCGTGCGTGCGTGCGTGCGTGCGTGCGTGTGTGCACCTGTGTGTATATAATATCTTTGTCATCTTTGCAAATGAATTTTATATAAACATAGTTGTTTTAGTTCTGGGTATTATTACTCATAATATTGTTATTTTTATGCGTGCATGTGATTTTTCTTATCTGCAAAAGTTTATACTTCTGTTTATAGAATGACAAAAATTACATGATCAGAGAGTATACCAGCAAGCAGAAGAAAACATCTGATATAAAGGTATATGTACTCAGCTTTTATCCTTCTCATCAGTTATGTCCAGGTTTCTCAAATACACATGCAGTAAAAGTTTAAACATTTTGGCTCTACCCCTACCCAGGTAGTCATGGACAGTTTGAAGTGTTGCTTCCTCACATGTTATTTATTTTCCATGTTTAGGCACCTCCAGAATCGTTCATTGACCCGATCGCCATTAGTGAGCATTTGGATACGATAGAAGAAATACTTGAAAAGGTCGAATTCCCAACATTAACAAACTTGGATCCAGGGACGGCTGACTCAGATGAGTCTCCGGAGTAGTAGCAATGTAAAGCTAATGCAGTACGTGTCAGTTATATATCGTTCTATACTTCTTCATATTTTCATTGATATTGGAGTTGCTACGATTTACCTTTGAAACTAATGGTTTAAATTGAAAGTATTTACAAAGCGCAAAATATTTAATAAATATATGCTGGTATTTTCTTCTCTTACTAGTCGAAGTGTATATAACAAGGTCACAACTGAATTGGGAAATCAGTGTTCATATATTGCCATGGTTGTGTAGAGTACGTGATACATTTCCATATTTTGTTATCTGTGATGTACTAACAGCATCCACGCGAATCACTTTTACTGTCATGCTAGTATAGTTCCACATGAAAAGCATTTAGGAATACTTGCATATTGGAGGTAAAATAAATGTTTTTAATTTCACACGAATAGCAGTTGCGGAAACCGCTATAGTTAATTATTATGACATTGTAAGATACTTCATGCAGAGCTTTGTGTAATCGTTGCAGTGTTACAAAATGTATCTTCGTATATGGAGTCCAATATGCTCATAGGATACAGTGAGACTATAAATAAAACCAGGAGTGAATAAAAACAAAGTTATGTACTCATACACATGATATGTTTAGATAAAAATATTTCACATTAGTTGTGCATGTGTGGTTTAATGTAGATATTATATAATGTGTAGCTTATAAACCTTATGGCAAGTCTATGTATGTGTGCTTATAATCATTGATCATCTGCGATGCGCATAATATAAGACGGAGTTTTAATGAAAGACTAAAGGCGAGTGTGTATGCATGTGTGTGTGAGAGTGCGCGCGCGCGCGCGTGTGTGTGTGTGTGTGTGTGTACGCGCGCGCGTATGTATGTGTGTGCGTGTGTGTATATATATATATACGGTAAAATTCACGGTATACGGCAATACGGCATACGTCAAAATATCAGACATGCCATAAATTATTTCACATTTATCCAAACACTGTGCATAGACAAGATCTTATTGTATATAGCACACAATGTTTGTCAATCAGATCGAAACAAAATCATAACATCGCATAATATTACAACGTTGACGGATAATTACACAATATTACATTGTTATATTGTATAATTAAGCTATAAATATAGATATAAGTTTATTTAAATTATATTATAATATTTAGTTTCCTTGCTAGCGTTGTGTTGTACGACGAACCCAATTCCATGTGCAAATTTTGTAATTTTGTCTTTCCTCACCTGTGGTTGCAAACCCATGTATATCTGTCTGTGTGTGTACATTAGCAGGGGCGTAGCTACGGGGGGGCCTGGCGGGGCACGTGCCCCCCCCCCCACAAATTTTCTGTGCCCCCCCAGGTTCCCCCCCCACTTAAAATTCGATGCTGATAAAAAAATGGCAATTAAAAACAATGCCGTTAGAACAGTATAATTACAAAGAAAGCTTATATTATTGTGCCCCACGAAAATGTAAGGCCCCCCCAGTCCCCCCTCGCTGAAAAATCCTAGCTACGCCACTGTACATTAGCTGAGGCGCGCGTGCCGCTCGTCGCCTTAGCCAGCAATGTATTTCGATTGATCTTACACACGTTAACCTGAGAGGGACATGCCAGAAGGAGATCTGCAAGATAAAAATCTACATTGCCCAAGTAGATGTGGAATGGCGCTCACATCGCTGGTCGGGTTGCCAGCTAAGATAATTTTTTCGGCCACACTTACGCGCTCAAAACGGTCATGCAGGTGTATGTGCTGGAAATACGTTGACGGGAATATCAACAATAGACCGACGCCCGAGCGCCATTTTCATCATGGAATGGAGGAACCGTGGCGTGATGCTGCGAGCGAAGTGAAGTACGAGAACAGATTTTACCATGCACACGTGCCGTCGGCCCGCCCGTGACTACCGCGACTCACCCTCAGCAAGCGGTATTATGAAATTTGGCTCATTCCGTACTGCACGCCTGAAATAGTGTTCGCGCATGCGCGATAACTCCTGAGAAGAAAAATATTTTATGAAAAATATACATTTAAAGTGAAGAGGGGTTATCCTAGCATAGATTTAGTTGATAAAATTCTATGAGTAGTCTTCACTTAAAAAATATGGAGAAAACATTCTATGTAATGTCCCCGCTGCATATATGCACATATACCAGTCACTACACAAACTGGCAACGTTACTGTGTTAGCGCATGCGCATTATCTCCCCAAAGGAGTCATATTTTTTCATGAATATGCATTTAATATGGCCAGGGGGTATCTCCACATAGATTTCTGTAATTAATTCTTATCCGTAAACCGTTTTTATAATTAGGAGAGCGCCCTAGCCTGTGGGAGGCAAAACTCCTATTTCATCCCCTGCCGTCCCTTCCCTGGGCTCCCTTGACCCTCGCTCAGCCCTCGTTTTTTTTACCGTTCATCGGCTATCTTTCCGGAAGCCTTTCCTAAGTCTCTCACCCCTTTCGCCCTCAGCAAGCTATATTATAAAATTTGCTTCAGTCCGTACGGCACGTCCGAAATGGTGCTCGCGCATGCGCGATATCTCCGGAAAAGAAGAATATTTTACGAAAGTTATGCATTCAAAGTGAAGAGGGGTTATCCTAGCATCAATTTTTAATGCTGCTGCAGCTAGGGGCCAGTATATTTTTCCGTTTCCCCCGTTTTTTGGCTTAGATGACATCGGAGGTCAAATCCAATGTGCCCATGACATTCAGCACCAAAATTCACCCCTACTGAAGATCTTTGCGATTTCTAGAGTGCTCCGTATTGATTTGCATCGGGAACAGACAAACAGACATACATTCACAAATATGGATATTAGATAAGATTGAATAGCGTCGGTGGACGCGTGAGCCAGGAATAAGTTGCGCCACGCGTGTTGACCACACGTGTGATGCGTTCGTGGCGAACGAGTTCAGAAGGTTTCTCGCGTAGCCCCATACAATCAGGAGTGTATCCTGTATCAATATATGGGGCTTGACAATGCCATCTACCCTTGTGACATAGACACCTTATAGTTCAGCAGTTTCTCTCTAATTAGAATATGGCAGCACAGTCTAGTGCACCATGAAATACGTCATAGTACCAGGGGCGTGTACAGGGGGGGGGGGCGAGCCGGACCCCCCCCCCCTGCTCGCCGCAGAAAAACGCATCTAAGGGGTGTATTTCTCAAATTTTTTGAAGCAGACCCTCCTTCGCGTCGCTCGCCAAGTTTGGGTTTACGTTAGACCCCCCCCCTGGTACAAATCCTGTACTCGCCCCTAAGTACACCAATCACACAAAATTTAGTTAACGAATCAGATACGCAGGAACATCTAGATACTGACCAATGGTCAGTAATTAATTGGCCACTCGTACGAATTTTACTCATATATAATAAGCTACGTAATAAAAATTATATTACCAGTTAACTAGTGTTAAGTTCAAGTAGATTATTATTATTAGTTAACTCTTGGCCCACCTTGTACGAATTTCCTTGATAGTTACTTAGCACTAGGTTAACAGGTTAATACAGCTTCAGCAATTAGTTACTTCGCTGTATGTCTGAATTAATTCTGCGTTTGCGTGATAACCGCGCACTTGCATGACGTTTGTGTTGCGTCATGGCATGGGGCGTGGCCACGAGCGGTTCACGCAGCTTTATGCCTTTACGCCCACCCGAGAGTGCACGGACCATCTTGTTGCCGAATTGGAAAAGGCTCTCGAGGCAGAGCGATGGAGAAAACAAAATTTTACAAGAAGATCATCAACGAGGTTGTGCCCGAGTACGATGCCGGCAGAAGGAAGGCAAGGAAGGAAAAGGAGTGAGCAGACGCGTCACACAGACGTACTCACAAACTCAGCATAGGGGCCAGGTACCTTACTACACAAAGATCGTTAGAAGTGCCGGAGGCACAGATCAAACACTCTCCCAAATCATACGTAGTAGGTCATGGGTCGCCACAACCGCCATTTTTAGGAAGCAAGTTCCACGAATGTTCCGGATGCTGCTGTATCTGCTACTGTGCAACTGTCTGCTGATGTGCTGTCAGCTCAGCTTATGTTCTGCTTGTAAATTGCCTCGGAATCGCTCAGCTGCTAAGCCCGACCTGTCTTTCTCAGGTTCCCCAGAATTACGAAGCGTTGATAAAACGATTATTTTTTTGTCGAAATCATCGTTGAAAGATGTTGTGCAATCTGTCGTTGATACTATGTCAGTACCAAGTGGCAGTGTGTTTGTGCACAGGGCGACGTGCGGGTGCCTACTTCACTTTGATGTGTTGAGATGGAGCCATTTAAAACTCGAAAATTTACAGCAATTATCGACAATATATAGGGCGAAATAAGAGTAGAAGAAACATTAATACTTTGATAGTAGTACATTTTGTGGTTTAATTCCAATTATTTGTTGAGACGTCTTAATGAAGTGCCTGTGCACATGCTACCACTGTCTTGACACTACACCACTGCACTGTGTACCATACTACATAGCTAAATCGATTATGAATCATTGTTAGATTTTTTGTACACTTGGGATATGAGAGATTTGATACATGCTATTGGCCATAAAAATATTATCTATTACATTATATTTATAATATCATTTATATATTAACCATGGTTATCCATATTATTTCTATGTATCAAACGGACTGCCGCGAGCGGGTTTTGTTCCTAAAATGGCGACGTGGCGCTCCATTGATATACACGTCATTGACGTGATTGCACGTGGTATTAAATTTGTGCCTCGGCACTCTACGATCTTTTGCGTGCCTATCTACAATACTCGTACACAGACTCGGCCTATCTTATATATACAAAAACCCAAATACCGTCTATGGTGTGCGTGGCGATTTTACGCATTAATTAGTGGTACTGGTAAAAAAACGCCCCCGGACCCTTAGTTTCCCTCTTTTTCCCCTCCCCTCCTAGCCGCCCCACTAAAACAATTACATATCTTGGGAGCAGAGAAGCAATAAACAAAATGTCGCCTTTTCGCATGGAGCCAGTAAAATATTAAAGTCATCCACTATTTTGCGCATTCGCCTGTTTTTGGCCTCCTTGCTTAAAAATCCTGGCCTACACCACTGTTCTTTGGTATTTCTGATCATATTATTATGTGATTGAAAGTAGGAGATTTGGAGATATTTTTTTTGCCGGACAACCAGAAATTTGTTGCGGACACCCGATTTTTGCGGACAACCACATTTTTTTTCTCTATTTCGAGCACTGTGATGTATAGCAATTCGTGCATGCAAATTATTGCTTTTAAATTAAGAAATTTTTATTAGCCTATAGATCAGTCCTCAATCAATAGGATTCATAAAGTTGTAAAAATTGTAATTTTACATAATTATATTATTGCTATTTCATCTGTATGTGTATACGTGCGTACACATTTTTGAATATATCTCTACAGCAGGTCCTATAGCATCCTATAAATATTCCTATAGAATCCTATACGTATTCCTATTGAAATCTCTACAGGGGGTCCTATAGGATCCTATAGGAGCCTATAAATATTCCTATAAATATTCCTATAAAATCCTATAGACATCTCTACAAAGGATCCTATAGGATCCTATAGAGAATTGGAACATAATTCCTATAGGATCCTATAACATCCTATAGGTTAATTCC